AATATTTCATTATGATTAATTGTTGGCTATACATCTAGAGATTTATAATACCAACATCCCAAAAAATCATTCCGTGTAATGCAAGCCAATCTTTGTTTAAACCCACAAGATGCGCAGTGACATAAAAGAAAAAGAAGCGTATAGTTAACCCATTCTCGTTACCGAATCTAGGACGCCACTGAATTATTGCAACAAGAAAAAGGGCCTTCAACCCCCTGATGTGAGTACATTATAGGCCTTCTGCTTTGCCCAGGAGGCGCTCCGAGAAAAACAACCGTCTTGTAGCACCCCCGCCGATTTGATTATCGGTATTGGGTAGCAGAAACTTGGCATTTGAATTTGTCCCGCTTGGAAACGTTATCCGGCGGTATGAGTTCCCCCCTTGCGATTGTTTTACGGCAAGGAATCGAGCTGCTTTCTAACGTCGAAAGCTTCTTTCCTTCCTCAACACTTCCCAAAGCAAAGAAACTTATCGAAGCACACTACTGCAAGCTGCGTATACGCCTTACAAGAAGCCGCAAATTTGGTGTAGTCGCGCTGTCACTCGCAAAAACACCGAGCATCCTATGATGTTCAGCTTGAGGTGAGCATTACGAGATACGTTAACGCGCTTCGTAAGCATAAACTCTCAAACTGCAGTCCCTCCGTACAGCCGACTCAATCAGCTGATCATGATGAAATAGAAAGCGCGCAAAAAACAAGGACGAAAAAGAGAGAACACGCACGACAGACAAGCGCTTAATCGCAATTGAAGTTTTATTCAAACTTGAGAAAACAAGTACATAGTTCCTTTCGCCGGCTGCACATGCGTCATTCAATTATCCCCCCCCCCCCTTACCGGTTTTAATCAACAAAGGAAGGAACCTCTTTTGTTGCCATCCCCCTTTAACGTGCGCGCGGGACTGTCGCAGATAAGAATGCCTCCTCAGCATCTGTCAGAACAAGTGACGGTTGACCATAATGATAATAAAAGCCTCTAAAACTTCTCTTGCTCTCTGCTCCTTTAATCGTCCCGAAATATTAGTGTTTTTAAAAACGGGCACATTCACACCTGCTGCAGTGGACTGCTAAGTGCCCAGACGGAGTGTTACGGAGAGAGTTGCAGTCTATCATTAAAAAGCCTCTGACACGCCAAAAAAATTTTTTTTTCATGCTAGGCGTTGAAATGGCATATCAGGACATTGCAAAAAAAAAATGTTTCACTATAGAGTTGCCTAGCTTTTTTTTATAAAAAATTGAAATACGAGGCCCAATTCAAAGTTCCCGCCGTGCACTGTGACGTAACAGTGTACCGCAAGGTGTCGGCGCGGTCAGAAGGAGGGCATCGACCTACGTCACTAAAAGTGGCTTCAGCGGAAGTCGCGTGAACTTCACCCCTCGTGCTCTCCGCGACCGTGCCTAAGATTTTTTTTTTATTCTGTTCTTTGTACGAGCGATCGTAGAAAACGAAGTGTCAGTTCCACTAGCTCCTTATCGCTGCACCGTTGGTTAGTTTGCGTGCTGTAAAAGTTGAGGACGAAGAGTCAGTGGATCGACGTGTCAATGATGAAAGCGTTGCGAGTACAAGCCAGTGTACGAGTGCATGCCGTCAGTCTGATGATACAGGGCTATACTGGAAGCCAAACAAGCTATCAAGTTTAAAAAAAATTAGAACGCTCACAGAAATTAGGATTGCTAGCATACGACATGCCCGATCGCATTGCTGAAGGTTCACATACCGAGGTCATCATCGGACACTTTCCAGGCTAAAGATTCCTGCCGTCTAATGAATACGAACTGGTTTGTGTACCAAGTACAGGTAAACGTCCAGCACAAAGTACTATTTTGTCTAGAACATGAATAGAACTTTTTTACTAGGTGCAGATGCGGCCGATGTATCGCTCTCGGAAATGCATGCAGTGTGATCTCTTCTTCAGTTGCTGAAATACCGGGACAGTCCCTTACACAGCACCTTCTAGGCATTGTAGTTGATCACGTCCATTCACTGGCTCCCCTTCTTCTACCTTTAGAGCAACATTAAGCGATGAAAAGCAAATAAAAAAAAACTTTTCTGCTTGGATCGCTCGTGGAGGTGTGGAGAATAATAAAAATATTAAACAAAATATTAGACGCGCTCGCGGTAAGCACGAGGAGCGATACAACTCACGTGACTTCCGGCGATGCCTCCCTTCTGACCGCCCCGACACCTTGCGGTACACTGTTACGTCACAGTGCACGGCGGGAACTTTGAATTGGGCCTCGTATTTTTATTTTTTATAAAAAAAAACTACGCAACTCGATAGTAAAACAATTTTTTGTAACGTCCTGATATCCCACTTCAATGCCTAGCATGAAAAAAAATTTTTTGGCTTGTCAGAGGCCCTTTAATACAACGTCCAGTCTGGCCCACACAGGCGTTACCACAAGAGAGTGGAATGCGGTAAACGACTCCGACTCGGCATTTGACAATCTGGTTTGCATGTTCTTTCCACATAAAAAACACCCTTTTCCTTCTCTGACACGCGAACCTTCCTGCACAATTCCATCAATTTTTCTGGTGCGTTGAAAACAGCTGGCACGCCATACCGCAGAGCGACGTACTTTCCCTTACAATAAATTTATATCTGGCCAGATCTGCAGATTTCAGATGTGCCCATATGAAAAATTGGCCACATGTAACCTGATATGGTATATCTGCCAGATATAAACTCCTAATGCCAGATATAGTCTGATATCCCTGGCCAGGTATGGGAATTACATATCTGGCTAAGTATGGAAATTACAGATCTGGCCAGGAATATCAAAAGGACACAAGCCTAGAATCAGCATTTTATATAATTTTATTGTCTACAATTCTCCCAACTGTCCCTTCCCGCATTCGAAGAATTATGGGAACGATGATTCTTCAGCTGCCTAGTGATCGCTAATTTTGACAAATTACATGGTTACAGAATTTCGAGTGTAATTCGTAGTCATCCTGAACAAGCGTCTCAGGGCTCAAGGACCTGGCATATCACTTTTAAAATTTCTCGTCAATGGCAGCGTCTATGATTTTGTGCATGTGATCCACCTTTCAACCTGGCCTGAGCCGCAGAAATCTCTTACAATATTATCATTCTCGTGATTGTTGTTTTAGCAGGAACTACTTAAAAGCCGAAAAATCACAACAACCCAAACCGGGGTTTAGCTCGGCTTCAGCGGAGCTGTTTATAGCATTTTTAGCGTTTCTAACTTAATATAAGCGCCTTTGAAGCTGTACAAAAATTATAATACTGTAAGAGATATGTCTGCAGCTCATCCAGGTTGAAGGTTGGACAGAATGAACGGTACTGAAATTAGCGAGAAATTTTAAAAGTTATATGGTATGTACTTGGGTTCTATACGACACTTGTTCAGGGTGACTCCGAATTACACTCAAAACTGTTTAACCATAAACTGGTCGAAATTCACGATCACTAGGCAGCTGAAGAAACACCGTCCCCATGATTCCTCGAGTACGGGCCGAGGCGCTTGGGTGATTTAGCAAATTGTCTGTGCAGGCGTAATCCTCCTAAAAATTAGCACAAATAATCCTAAACTGAAGCTTGCCAAAGCTGAAGTTTGGGATTATTTGTGCTAATGTTTAGCTGGCGAACAATGAGTCATTCACAGTTTGTTAACAAAACACTTTTTTTACCTTTTTTTTAAACGTATTTTTTGTACATTGAAAGCCGGCCGGTCAGATAGAGCTGTATGTACGCCAGATAACGAATACCTCAAATAAGGCTGTATATATGCCAGATAAGGCTGTATGCACTCCAGATGAGGCTGTATATAGGCCTTATATATTCACATAATGTTTGATATGGCCAGATATGCCCCAGATATAAGATCTCCATAAGGGTTACATTATGGGAGACACCGCGGAGGTACGGAACGATCACAGGCCTGACGCCTTTTCTTTGTGGTGCACGATTCGCTGGCCCCTTCAGACGTGTTAGTAAAAACCCCGACACTTCCTCCAACACCCATGAAGAAAAACCTGCCTTTTAAAACTTTTTTAGCTGGTCATATGAACACTTTTTTCAGCCCGTGGTGGCATGATTTGCTCAAGGCTGATCCTAGGCAGGACACCGCGATACCCCTCGTTACGAATTACGAGTGTGCAGACTCAAAGGGTAGGGGCCCTTTGAGTCTAATGATCAGCTGATGACCTACCTCAAAAATGCGCAAAAGCAGACGCGAGCGATCAAGTGGTGACCGGCCGCGGCCGAGCAGATCGTTCCTAATGCACGCGGCTTCTCGAGCTGTTGCAGCTTTCATTGCGCATTTGCGCTAAAAGCTCGACGTAACGTAAGATCAGCAGTGGGAGCTCCGCCTTCAGCACACGCTTCTCGCCCTCCGTAGTGCGTTGGTGCGCGCATACGCTCGTCTCTTCATCGGAGAGCTCTCGCTGGAAATGGCGCTTTTACTGATGACCTCATGTTGCGAGAGCTGTAATTCAATCGGATCGCTTCACTGGTCGGGCAGTATAGCGTGTTCCTGTTCGTAAAATTTGTATGAAACACGTTTCAAACTTGCGATGCATGACACGGCCGCTTGATCGTGTGGCTGTGCTTAGCAGAACAACCTAGAGGGCGAATAAAGCAATTGTCTCGCTTACTCAATGCGCTGGGCGGCTAGTATCGATTTGTTACGGCTTCGATGGGAATCTGTACAAGCTTACTCCGGGGTTTTTCCTGTTCATGACAGTTGATGAAGCAACAATACCGTCGATGGCAACGTTTCGAAAGCATCGAGGCCGCTTGCTCCCGGTTTCGACGTGCTTGGACGAAGGAAAAATTACTAGCTTGCGGCGAGCTCGGGTCCTCGGGATAACGTTGTACGGTGACGACTACGAGTGATACATTTTTAGTCGTGACCACGCGAATGCACAAATAACAGCTGCGTGCGGAGGTAAACAGCCGCCCGAACAGGTTTGTTATTGTGAGGGGCTGCGGGACTTCTACATTTCCCATTTCCCAAGTTGTCAGTGTACCACCATGAAAGTGTAGTAAGTCCACTAATACAATAATATCTGTACCTAAAGTTTGTTTGGTTCCCCACCCTCTACACTGGCAGACGTTTACCCCCGGTACGCCATCGAGAGTTTTATTAATCATTAAATACAGCCTGTGCTAAAATTGCGAGACTACGGCATAGCGCTACTGTTTATCAAAATAAGTGGCCCGGCTTACCTCTCATTGACTATATTTAGTTCAGCAAAGGGAAACTCCAGCCCCTACAACTAATTACTTCTCATACCGATATCACTGTTGGGAGAATAGTTTCAGAATAGTTTGATTATAAAAAAAAATATTACAACTTGTCCTTCTAGATACCCCTTTTTTGCCTGTACCCGTTCCTGTTTACAATTATTCTGAATTGAAATACTACTCCAATTTGATGCAGCCCGTGACTAAACATTGTGCCGGTCGTGCACGAATATGCAGCCCTTGTGAACATTGGACTTTGAAGGGTGCTGTGAGAGATTTTGTACTGGCTTATTTTGATGAAGAAAAAAAGAACTTCGCTGGAAATTGCAATACAAATATATGGTGACGGCACTGCTTGTGTTTTCTTGGAGGAAAATTGCAAAGAGATTTACATTTTCTTCGCCGTTCGTCGGATTTACAGCGAGACACGTAAGTTTGGAAGGAGATGTTTAGCAAAGCAAAGTCCCGGGTGAGAGCTTCAAGTGCGGTCTTGGATGCTACGAATCCTGTCCACTTGCCTTCTCTTTTCAGATGCTTTAGGTTCCTGCGTAGAATATCTGGCTCGCTGGTCTCTCCCACCAAAGTGCCAGCATCGCCAACGAGCGCGCTCATTTCGCTCGTCATATGCACAAAACGAAAGTGGAGCCCAATCCCGGCGCGGGAAGTGCAAGATGTAACGCACTGCGAGACACGCAAAAAAAAGCATCAAAATCAAAGAGCGTAATGGCTTGTGACGTCAGTATGTTGCTCCGTCTTAGGAATTAGTTGTATTCCGCAAAGCCGGACACCTACCGACGCTGCTTTTCTTTGGGTCGGTGTTGACCGAAATCCAGAAAGCTGCTAGAGTCGCCGACAATAAAAGATTCTGTGTTCAGTAAAGTCAGTAGGCCAGTATTGGCTAAGTGGTGTCTCTGATATTACTCCGGCCGTTGCGAGATGAAATTGTGTGCGTGGGGGGGGGGGGGGGGGGGGGGGGGGGCGATCGGGCAACCGTGTTCCGTTCACCTCGTCCATGCTCGGCTGGGCTCGATATGTACTGTACATAGAAGACATCGGACGGGAGCAAGCGCGTCATGTGCGCTCTCACCGCTCTCATCTCGTTGAAGAGACGCGCGGCTCGCTGGGCTGGTCTCGGCTGCTGGCCGCCATGTTTTATAAGGAACACACTCAGCCGTGCATCACGGAAGGCATACACGGTGTATGGTGTTAAAGCTTACACGGCGCCTCATGTGTAGACGTATAACACAGGTGGCGGGGTGTAAAACGAACGCGTTTTGACGTGTCCACTCCGGGACAATGGTTTACCCGTCTACGCGTTTTGGTTTTTGCTAACAGTGTACCGAGGTGCGAGAGAGAGATCTGGGCAGTTTACTAAGTAAAGCCGTACCAAAAGAGGCCGTAAGATGGTGCATGGGCTGATCCAGTTTTCATGACAGGGATGCCCGAACCAAGTTGGGTTTGATTTGGGCCTCCCTGTTGTCAAGCTGGATCGGCCCATGGGCCTAAGAGCAGACTAGTACCTAGTTCAACTACTCTACTCAAGTTACTGTAGTTTAACTACTTTTCTGAGTAATTTAGAAACTTTCAATTACATTTTTATTTGGGTAATTAGTAGTTTACTTTAATTAATTTTTTGAGTAACGTCTACTACAGGTACAACTTACTCCCGAATTTTAGTGGTTGTTTTGCCTATCAACGAACATTCCTGCACAAAGGAGATAAGATTGTGGAAGACCAGGTGATATTTGCACAAAGGGGGAAGCATGTGGCGTAGGAAAGGGGGAGGAAATCGTTTAGAGAGTCCGAAACCCCCCAAAATTTTCACAAGCCCCCCTCTCCCCCCCCCCCCCCCCCCCCCCCCCCCTGCAACAACACTGCTACGAGGCTCGCGCCGAAGACTGGCGTTTCTCTGTCCCGAAGCTCAAGGAGACTTGACCCATCTGAAGAAAAGGCTGGTCCCCGCTTCTCCTCAACGTAGAAACTCTCGCCCACTACAGGAAGTGCATACATTGCATCCTCACTCAAAGGAGGCAACAAAATGCAGCACCTGCTCTGAAATTCATCTGGTGCTCACGTAGTTTGTACTGTATTCGAAGAATCGCGTTTTAAAGGCCAACACAAAGATTACCTTTTCGCGTTGCCTTTTTCCCCAAAACCTCAAAATATGCAAATCTTTAAAGGGGTCGTGAAACGTTTTCGCGAAATTCAGAGCTATATGTGTATTTGGAATCTTTGTCCTTTATTGCATAACCCACGTCCATTCGTTTGATCGTCCCGATTCATTTATAGGAACAAAAAAGATAATTTCTGTTTCTCGGGGAGCTTCCCTCTCAGTTCTACAAACACGTCATCATAAGTAACCAATAGGGAATTTTTGTTGTCTGCGCAAGATGGCGACGTAGACCGGACTGAATGGGCGCAGACAGAGCGTCAGACATCGCCTCAACAGCGGCGCCATAATGACGTCACGCACGCAAGTCAACGAGGGAGATCTGACGTCTGATATTTCGCTCAGATAACTGTAACATGGCCGACATCCCCGAGCTCCAAAGTCGCCTCTTACAACACAGTCGGCTTCTGGGTTTTGAGCCGTGGAGCGACAGCCCATTGCGTTAAACGGGAGACCATACGTCGTCCGACAGCGATAGCAGCGGCGACGACATCGACTGCGAAGGTGCGGCTTGTGCGGGCTCTCGACATCGTTACGCAAACCCAACGACGTCTAGAGCTCGGGCGAGCCCCGACCATCAACCCTCCGAACCGGATCAGCTCGGACACACGGGCCTGGTAAGTCTTAGGGTTCCCGAAAAATAACTCGCGAATGCGTTGCTCACATGATCATTCTAATAGGTGCACCTGCGGGCGGTGCGTGCCGATGCCAACCGACCTCGAGAGCGTCTGCTGCCGCGAGGTTCCTGCAGCGACTCGGAAGCAGCCGTCGGATTGCCTTACGACGCACCCGCACTTCCATAGGCTGTGTTTGGATGAACTGGTCTTGGACGTAGCCATTCAGATGCTTCAGGACCACAGCATGCGTGTCGAGAACACGAGGTAGGAACTTTTTCGTGCTGTGATCAATATCACTAATTTACAAGTGAATCATTCATTGCGCTCAGAGTCATGTTTATTTGCCACTGAGAGCACAAACCATTTGCCTTAGCAGGAATCGGCAGAAAGGAGTCGTTACAATCCAAGTAGGTTCAGAGTTTTAATTTCTTACAAAGGTGAATAAAATGAAATAAGAAATCGACAGAGCTGGCAGTAATGTAATTCCTGTAATGAAATTACAGTAATTTAATTACTTGTTCCAGTAATTAGTAATGTAATTCATTACTTTTGTAGCAGGTAATTTAGTAATGTAATGAGTTACTCCAGCAACGGTAATTGTAATTAAATGACCTAATTACTTTTTCGCACCAGGCATATTTTTTGTGTCCACAATACACAAGAGCGCTTTTATTTTTATTTTACTTTTTCTTTTTCCTCTACACCTTTCCAAAAAACGCTCTTTGGCCGCCGCTATGTTGCTGATGCTAATGCGGCTGGTGCGACTCTCGCGCCCGCTATCAGCTAGACATTTTCTGCCACTCTCTAGAACTATCAAAACCCGCTCAGCGCGATTCTCTACCTATGTTTTGCGGTTTGGCATTCGACGTTTTCTGGCCCCTCTTAAAAGTGTCCGCTTACTTTTCCTGATGCATGCTGCCTACCCTCTCTGTGTTATCTTTCACTGTGAGAAATAGGGCTGGTAAGTTTCTGCCATTCGAGCTTTTCTGCTCGACATTCTCGGGAAACGAAGGAGGGGAAGTAGATCGAACTAAGGCCCCTGGTGGAACGGCCCTCGACGCGATTTTGCGAACAATGACTATAGTTCTCCCCCCTCCCAGAGATAATCCGCGTAGGGTCCTCAAACATCTCCAAAAATAGTTGTCCGGGTTGGGGTGGGAAACGGATCAGTCGCGTGCGTTCCTCTGTCTATCGGTAAACATGTTATTTGTGAGCGTGAAAAATGCATGTCTTTCGGCTATCTTTTGTTGTTAATTAATTTCGACAGCTAAACGCTTTGTCGTTTGACACGCGGTTAATCGAACGGCGCCGTAAAAACTTACTGTAGAAAACAAACAAAATAAACAACAACTAACATTCCAGTCGCATTCGTTCTGTCACGCGCGTACCCAACAAAAATAGCTTACTGCTTTTTTTTTTTTTCAAATGTAGTACAATGCTTTCCAATGTCCTCGGGAAAATACAAGCACCATGAAACACAAAATGCAGTGGGAAAACACGAGAATTTAGACGCCACCAGTGTTTGAAACTGCGCCTACACAGGTTGTGCCTGTGTAGGCGCAGCCTGTAAAAGTATACAAAAGTAATGCGAAAGTAATGTCATTATTTTTAAAATTAATTGTAATGGTAATTAATTACTTTCTGGCTGTTGTAATTTGTAATGTAATTTAATTACATTTCAGAAATTTTCATCAAAGTAATTAGTAATGTAATTTAATTACAAGATATGAGTAATTTGGCCAGCTCTGGAAATTGAACACATTTTTCAAGTTTAGTGTTTATGAGCAAATATCCTTTTATGTTACAAAAAAGCACTACGAGCTTTGCTTATTATTTACACCATTATACACTTCTTATTTTGACTAGTAAGACACCTACAGCAGTTACCTGAACATAAATACCACAGTGAAAGTGACTGAAGATACATTTCTGGGCTTGCAGAAACCAGGTAAACAAAGTATTCGGTGATGAGCATCAATAAAATATTCTGCTCTAGATCCTATATCCAGAAATTTCTGCAGCATTGTGATGTAGCAGCTGTCGGCGTCGAGTGCCTTCCGCGCGTAGGGCCAGCGAGCCTGCCAGACAGAGACAGAGACCTTGACAGTTGACCAAAAATTAGTCCAGACTTGGCTTTCCCATTGCACCTCTCTGGGACCCCCAAAATCGGCCAAGGCGGACTCCAAGGTGAGAGGAGCAAGGCGTCGGGTTACGTCTCGCCGAGGAGAAGACCCTTCACAAGATATACGACGCCGGAAGGCTGTACGGGATGCCGTACAAAACACAATTTGTACAAAACGGCGGAACGGCCACTTTTCCTTCCGCCATAATGTAACCTTGTGTAACCTATTGTAACCCCAGTTAATAAACATCTTGTTAATTTTAAATCAACCCCAGTCTTTCAACTTACGATCACCTACGAACTCCCAAACCCAAGGAATAACCCGGCATGGCGCAGCCGACATCAACGGAGGGTATGAGCGGCCACACCCCGTCAACGAGCATCAACAAAAGGCGGAACCAAAGAACGATGCTTTGAACGAAGGGAATGCTGATGATCTTCACCTCTTCTGCAAATATGAGATGGTAGAAGAACCGAGGTCTCGTCATTTGCCATGCAGTGGACCGAAATGCAATTCATCCGCAGACTTCTAGACGACAACGCGACTCGGCGAGGAGCTGAAGGCACGGTGGAAACCCTAACGTCCGTTTGCGAGACTCGCAACGAACAGCAAGCTCGTATTGAGGAGCTCTCCACAGCCAACGACAAGCTCCAAGCCGATGTCAAACACCTACAAGCCAAGATGCAACGCCTCATCTAAGCTGTATCTTTGACGAAGGCATCAGACGTTCCCGACGACACACAACGGCTCCCAGGGACAGCCTGACAGTGGAACGGCTGGAGTCAAGCAACATCCCAGTGCGACCTACGCCCATGCAGAGCAACGTCATCGCTCCTGAAGTTCCCCTCCGAACGTCGACTCCACACGAAAACAACACGAAATCACCCATCTCCTTGGGATGATCGTCGAGACGCAGGCCCGAATGTTAGAGTCCATGGCACGACAAGGGCAATCACTGCAGGTGCACTCAACGAGCGACACCTCAACGGCAACCCCATCTACGACGGTGCCATCGAGACCAACATCAAACACTGGATCGCCAAGGTAGAACGTATCGCAGCCCTGGCTCATTGGACACCTCAACTGCCCTCGTGAACGCCGTTTCATGACTCCGCGGATCAGCGAAATATTGGCAATCATCATACGAATCAAAAATCAACGATTGGGGCATTTGGAAAGGTGAAATCACGTAGTGGTTTAGACGAAAAATGAACATGCAAGAATTCCTTCAGTTCTAAAAAAAACGACAACTAGTCGAAAGTCACTCAATCGTCCAATACATTTACTCCAAAAACGCAAAGCTCGACATGTCACCATATACGTTTGTTATAGAAGAATGCATATCCCTCATTCTGAACGGGATAAAGGACGACAAGTTGGCTAATTCGTTAGCCGTGCAGTGCTGCAGGACGGTTATCGAACTGATCGAACGCACAGCCATGCTCGATTGTCGAAGATGCACCGAAAAACCAAGCACGGAGGCACAGCAATCAAGATCGTCAGGAAAGGCCAACACTCAACGCCAAACATCAGAGTCCGTCCGCATCGAGCAGCCTATTCAAGAGGCCACCCTCCCGACAGTGCTTCAATTGTAGCGAATCCGGTCACCTGTCACGCGATTTCAACAAACCCACGAGCGCAACACTCCGTAAAGAAGAACAACGCAACACTGGCTCAACGCCAAACGTTCAGAGCTCAGTTACGAATCGACAAGCGAACTGCTTTCTACGATCCACTGGAGGCAGCCTTCCAATTGTCGACGGATTTGTGCACAACGATAGGCCTGTTAAAGTCTGCATTGACAGCGGTGCTTCACGTAGGCACGAAAACGGGCTCATGGAACGGACAAGAACGCATCGAAGTCCCCGGTCGCAAGCTTGAGCCAACGAGTGCAACAATGCTGGACATCACTGTTGGTGCCACACAAACTCAGCTTCCCAACACAGTTATCGCACCACTGCCAGCGCCTTTGGATGTGATACTGAGTTCTGACTGGCGCCAACAAGCCAACGTTGATGTGACGTTCCACTCATCGAACGATGTCCCAATCGTGCAACTACCGAACGACAACGAGCAATCCGCACATGACATGCGCGATTTTAACACGCCTACGCATCCCAAAGGCAGAACCGCAGAGACATTTATCGTTTCGTTCAGCGAACGAGAAGCTACTACACCGACCGACGTCGAAGAGACAAAATACGTAAGACTCTACACGAAACAAGAGACTCCAAACAAAAAGTTGCTTCAGGACATTGACGAAGCGGTGTCAGAAATGACAAAAGATGCGACACCCGAAGTGGACAAACTACGGTGCATTCTCACACGGCACAGCGAAGCCTTCATGACAAATGGAGAGCTGCTCGGATTTTGCCCACACGCCGAACACTCCAAACACTCCATCGATTTACGGGACGACATACCAGTCGTATCCCGGGCATACAGGTGCTCCCCAGTGGACAGAGAGTTTATCCACAATCAGGTCGACGACAACATCCAAAAGGGAATCATAGAGCTAAGCGAGAGCGAGTATGCCGCACCGACGATTGTTGTGGATCAACCGCGCACCCAACAACTCCGTGAAGGATGGTTCACGACTACAGGGAACTGAACGCGAAGACTGTGAATCCGTCCTATCCCATGCCCATCATGGAGGATGTGAGGGCAAGGAGCAATGACAGTCAAGGAAGCACTAGAACTTCTCGACTCAGCTCTCGACAGAATCGTTACCAACGGACTGAAAATGGACATGAACATGAAGTAATGCCATGGACATGGACATGGACATGAAGTAATGCCAGCTCGTGCGCGACAACGTCACTTTCCTCGGGTATGAAATATCATTGGACGGACGCACGCTTGACCAAGCTCGAGTAGCCGCAGTCGACAAGTTTCGACCACACTTGAACGCTAAGAAGCTCTACTCAATCCTACAGTTTGCCAACCACTACCGTATGTTCATCCCCATTTTCTCAGCACGTACTCGTATATTAAGAAATCTCATCTCCAGAGAGACACCTTTTGTGTGGACGCATGAACACCAAGATGTGGTCAACACTCCGAAGCACGCTCTCAAACACCTTCCAATCTTCGCGAGCTTCCAATCAGACTGCCCGACGTGTGCGCACGTTGACGTATGCCAGACTGGCCTCGGAACCATATGCAGTCAGTTGCAAAACGGCAAGGAACGGGCGATTGAATACGCAAGCGGCTGAACAAACACGACACCTATCTTCACTCCAACCTGGTAGAATGCATAGCGCTGCATTAAGCAATGACAGAGTTCTCTATTTATCTACGGGGTGGACCGTGTTTCACAGTTCTTACAGACAACTTCAGCGTGGCGTATTTGGCACTAGAGGGAGCAATGAATCACCAATTTGCTCAATGACGCTGGACCTTGCTGAATACACGTTTGACGTTGTTCACAGGCCAAAAAGATTAAACACGGCAGTAGATGCCCTTTCACGACAGGGAGAAAGAGAGACTATGCCAGGAGACATCCTGAAAACGGTACCGGCAGGTCAAGGGTTGGCATGCTACGCCATCGTAGCAGGAGATCACAGTCACTTAAGCAACCTGCAGGCAAGGGACGCAGAATGCCAGAAGTTAAAGTCAGTGGCGAGCGATAGAAACAGCCTGTACAACAGGAACGACGTCCTCACAAAAGAAACCACGAAGGAAGGACGCGTCGTAAAAAGAATTGTCGTTCCCGCCACGCTCCAAGAGTTTGCGATGCTGATTTTTCATGACAACTCAGGACTCATGGGAACGGAAAAGACGAAGGAACTCATCCTACGAAAGTACTGGTGGCCGGCCTTGCTAAAAAATGTGCGTCGTTACGTAAAGTCCTGTCACATGTGTCAGACGATTTACGCGCGCACGACACTGAGCAAAGGCTGCATGAGTGTAAAAGAATGTAACCACGGCATGCTTTTAAACTGCCACATAAAGCGCTCATCAAACTTATACGGAACACATAAATTGTTTTTTTCGTATGGTAACACTATCCTGGAGGAAGTAGAACCATGGCTTATTCACGTAGCTGGTCCAGATGAACTGTTGAGTGCCACGTCACGAAACCTTTGCTCAACTGCCACCAGGATGGCTCTGCCACGAGAAAGACACAGTTTCTGTGTCTCATTTAAACTTAATGAGCACTATAAATACATTCCGTACAAGCCATGTGTGATGATGACCAGAAGATTGGCCCGAAATGAGCCAAATGAAGGGACTGCCTCCGCTTCTCAGAATATGCAAGTATATGTCAGCCTTTAAATGAAATTGAAAGGATGTAAGGCAACATTTCCTTTTCCCCTTGCCAACAGGAAGTACCGCCACAGCAGCTACAGCCAGCTTGCACACTGGCTTTGGGAACGGCTGGAAAAGAATCGCAGGAGGGTCCTCCCTGCCTGTGCTGTAAATAGAATGAGGGAAATATTTCCGTCAGAAGGCTACAGTGGCTTCCAATACGCTTACAATTTGTAAAGTGTTCATCAAATTATTATGCTGTTCAGAAGCTGTTGAGGGGGGGGGGGGGATGAATTATAGTATACCGTTAAATTCCGAGCAAAAGCAACCCCCCCCCCCCCCCCCCCCCAAACTTCCCTGCTAATTTCAGATGTCCGCGCCGTTCCGGGAAAGCGCCCCCTCTCCACTCCGCACCCGTATCATGTACCGCGCAGACCGCGCCTAGGCAACACTGGCCTGCGAAATCCAGTCCAACAATCCAATCCAATAATGCTTTGCAGCCTGATCAGCTCGCTCGCCACGCGCCATTGTCGCTTTGTTTTGGCGGCGTCAGTTCGGATATACATTCTTACACAGTTCCCGTGAAAGCGGGAAAAACGTACACCAGACATCTCGACACATCAAGCTCGACCAGATACGGAAATGGGACAAGAATTTTGACAATTTGCTACAGCCAAAATACGGGAAAGTCAAACTTCGACGAAAGCTAAGTAACCGCGCGCCGGTGTTCAGTAAAAAATTGGACGATGTGCTCTTTGAATACCTGGTTTGCGAATGAGGTGCAGAAGAGCCATAAGCAACCGGCTTCTTTCTGAAGACGCTGTCAAAATAGCCAACGGCATGCCGTTGGGAAACGTTTCGGAATGCCGTGAACTTTTTCTTGCGATCGACTCTGAGGAGTCTTTTGGTGGTTTTTAAAGTGATTAATAAAGCAGTGACAAATCTTTGGCCTAATAAAGTCTATGTTCTCAGAGATAAATAAAATATAAAATCCATGTGCAATGCGGTTTTGCTCTTTTTCTGGCAGAAAATATTTTTTGTCGCCATCTTGAATTTTTGTGCCATTCCGGGATAGCGCCCCCACACACTTTGCAGGTAATTTTGACTTGTGTGCAAGGGAGGGGGGGGGGGGGGGCAATTGCTCGGAATGTTACGGTAGTTAGATTGTGCAGTTTGAGAATGTGCATTGGTTTAATTGAAGCCTTTTGCAGGATGAAAGACCATGTGTTATTTGGCAGTTTGTTTTTTCTTCTGGAACATGGAATTAAAGTACCAAACAGCCATCGGATGGCCAGAAAAACATACTTTTCGTGTGAGGCTCGTCAAAATATCAGGCGCTGGAAAAAATTAGCTATCTGCATTAAGTCGCCATTTTGAACTATTTTTGTTCATGCCCCACTCATAAAGCACGACGAAAGAGCCCAAGTATGCACCCTCAGCGTCGACTTCCACAATGGTGCGTCTGACTTTGGCTACGTCTGCCATTGCTGGCTTTAGATGCTGCGTTTACGTGCCCCTCTATAAAGAAAACGCTTTTTTGTCATGGTGACATGACCATAGCTGAGGAAGTTCATTGTGCGGAAGGAGAATGGGGTGCGGCGAGATCAGGCGCGTACCTTGGCGTGCTATTCAATGGCTGGAACGTGAACAAAAAGCGTTTGAAATAAGGACTTCACGGAGGTGGCTAAGTTTCTCCACGGCCTAATATTTTAACAAGCATTACACGAAAAGCATGTTTTTAGATCGCAGTTAGGACAAAGTTTTTTGTACTGCAACATATTTAATTGAGTAGAAAAACTTCTATTCAGAATATTAGCTGAAAAATATTGCATTTTAATTTGATTTTCATATGCAGTCTTCTAATTGACATACTTCTTTCTAATTATGTGAGGAGGAACGGAATACGAATTAATTCAATGTTTTGAACTTGTGAAGTAGGTTTGTAATGTAAGATTTTTCTAGGTTCTACCATGTTTATGGTTGAGAGGAAACTTGTCAATCACAATAAATTGTTGTGAAAGTAATACGTGTTCTTGTAATCATTGATAAACTAATGCCCGTGGTGTTTGAACAGGGGGCATTTTACCCCCCCCCCCCCCTCCCTTTCAATCTCGGCAGTGACTAATGGTAGGGAGTGTGCCCACCTGATCTAGAGAGAAGTCCTCCCTGAGCCAGTGGCAAACCTTGACCTCCTTGTCGCCACCAGTTCGGCTTTTGAAGGCCCGGGGAATGAATGGCTCATGGGGGTGGGGCGTCAGATTTGTTCGCTGCAAAGGCAATCTTGAAAGACCGCCACAGTTTGCAGCACTTTTCAGTTTCTGTGAGCAGCAGGTCAACATAGTCTGAAATAAAAATGATACACATACAGTGGTTTGAGTGCATGCATTCTATTTGCATAAAACATGTAACACCGGCTAAAAAATGCACTTTGTGTGAACAAAAATGCTGTAGTAAAGCAGTCTCTGTGGGCGCATGCACTCTCGAGAGTTATCTGCTAGCCTTCATTACCAAACCTGCAGATGCAAGTAGTAAATATTTTGGATATACTATTGCATGGGTTCTGATACTGGGATGCTAAGAACCCAAGGGATCCCTAGGACGTCCTTAGCCAAGGAGAACTCGACTTTTAATTCTGTTGATGACACTTATATGCAGAATTGAACGTATTCATCCTTTTAGATGTAAAAATAAACAGGGTACCCGACACACTACTTACTGTATGTAGGCTCAGCTTGCTTGGGACCTTCACTCCCTTTCTGGATTTCGGATGTTTTATCTTAAATTGCAAACATCCGTCAGCCGAGACAGCTTGCTCCCTGTTGGCATTTTCGTTGAAGTGCAAGATGGCGAGTTGTATTCTGAAATGAGAAAAATAACACCAGGATCCTTGTAAATATGAATGCTCGTGAATGAGTTTGTTCACGACTTGCCTCGCTCGCATGCCATCAGAGGAGGAGCACACTGACTTCGGGGCGAACCCGATCAGGAGGCTGTGGAAGGCTTCGAGGCTGAAGGTATGAGTTGAAGGGGCTAGTTGCCGAATGTCCTTGAGGAGACGCGGTGCCATCGTCACTTCCACAAGCTTGTGATGTGCACGGGTACCTGTATTGTTGAAATGGGCAAGCTTTCTAGACAGGTTGTTTCTAAAATAGTTATCTTATTTTCTGCATAGTTCGTACATAGAAATTCTGTAATGGCATTTTAGAGTGCAGCTCTTAGGCGCTCGTTTCCGGCTTGAGCGGCGTCGGCATCGCTGTAACCGTGCGGTACATTATGGGAAACATCCCACATTGCAACGTGCAGAGGAGGGAGGAAGAGGAGGGGGAGAAGGAGGGCGGGGGGAGGAGAGGAGGAGGGGAGATTCCAGCTACCCATTGTGCAGGCAAGTGATATCACCATTCGTAAATCACAGAGAGACAGGTATGAAAATGTGGTGTACTCGTTATCCAAGTGGCCATCTACGTGGGTATGGTGGGTCTGTGTTGTACCCATCAATCTCTGCGGCACGTCAGACGAAGTTGGCAAATTGTGTGCCGTCAAGGTCGACAACAGCTTGCTCGTGGTAGCTGTATCTCTCGCCTACGGAACTCACCGAATATTTTGTGCGAGACAAAAAACTTCATACTAGTCATGCAGGAAAACGTCCCATTGGCCCCGAGCGATGTCCACTCGCTGTTCTGCTGTGCCACGTCTGGGGACCGCACGCAAGACTAATGCTGAGGAAATAAAAAAATGTCGAGCAGTCGTCGACAGAGCCGACAAAAAGTAAGATGACGTGAAGAGCATCGAGAGAGGGGAGAGTATTCATGCTTCGTCAAAGTGTTGACTCTAACGCTATCTCAATCTCCCGCCATGCTCCTGCTGTCCTGCTCCCTGGCACTGGCAGAGGTTAGACAGAGTGAGAACTATATTTCCTTTCTCTGGAAAGCGGTGAGCAAGAATACCACAATATATATATATATATATATATATATATATATATATATATATATATATATATATATATATTTATGTATATATATATATACATATATATATTGTGAGGGATACAGAGGCTTGGCGACCGGTTTCAATTATGTTTATATTCGGCGATGGTGGTGATGATGACGATAATGAGGGTGATGGCTGCACGGGGCGATGGATGGGTCACATCACCCCCCCCCCTTCGCCCCCCGGGGGGGGAAGGAGGGGTTGGGAGGGTGGGGTGGTTAATGGTGAAGGGAAGCGGTGGGTAGCGGTGGGTGGTAGGATTTCAAGCGGTTCACAGGTAGAACCTCTGAAGTACGGCGGCGTCCATCGCAGGAGGAGGACACGGGTTCGGCAAGGTACGACGCGGGGGATGTTTGCGCGATGACTCGGTAGGGGCCGATGTACTTGTGACGAAGCTTGTCAACTCGGCCGGGTGGTCGGGCGGGGGTCCAGACCCACACAATGGCACCGGGAGCGTAGGAGGTATGCGTATGATGCTTATCGTAGTGATCCTTGGCTATATGTTGTTGTCGCGATGTGCGTAGCTGTGCGAGCTGGCGGCAGTCTTCGGCACGGGAGATGATATTGGTGAGGAGGTCATTTTGGTCGGTTGACGGAGCAACAGGAAAGATGGTGTCCATAGTGCATGAAGCTTCGCGACCGTACACTAAATGGAAAGGGGAGTAGCCTGTAGTAGACTGAAGGGCAGTGTTGTAGGCGAAAGTTACAAAGGGGAGTATTGTGTCCCAGTTTGAATGATCCCTTGAGATATACATAGACATCATGTCAGCGTGAGTCTTATGAAAACGTTCAGTGAGCCCATTTGTCTGCGGATGATATGATGATGTTGTCTTGTGAACTACCCGACAGGCTTTCAAAATGGCTGCAAGTGTGCTCGAAAGAAACTACCGTCCCCGGTCGCTTAAGAGAACTTGTGGCGCGCCGTGACGTAGGAGTATATTATGTACAAAGAATTGAGCTATTTCTTCAGATGTCGCAGAGGTCAGCGCGGCAGTCTCAGCGTATCTAGTCAAGTGATCAACGGCTGTGACAATCCAACGATGACCGTGCGAGGAAACTGAGAACTCTTTCGAAGGGCGTACTGGGGCAAACCAGAGGTTGGAGTAGTCCAGCAGGCGCTGTGGTTGGGCGTTTTCTACGCTGGCATTTCAAGCAGGACTCAACGTATTTAAAAATGGACGTCTGAAGGTGGGGCCAGAAGTAGCGTCGCCTAATTCGAGCATATGTTTTTTGGAAGCCCATGTGTC